GGGAAGATATGATTGGTCAATTGTACTGTCATTTGACATTACTCTCTCATTGAGTTACTGTAGCTGGCCCTCTGTGAATGTAGAGAGGGACCAACAAGCCCTCCAGTAACTCGCAGAGACGGCATTTAACCCTTCACATTCCAACAGAAACTGAACAGGCAGATTCGAAGGATTTATTTCTTTGGAAATGTTATTTTAAATACAATTAAATCAAGTTATTTTGGTAAAACTAATGAAAAATGTAACAACAAAAAAATATAAAAAATAATATTTAAATCTTTTTTTATTTTTTTTTATGTTTTCAAATATTATTTTTAGAATATCTTAGGCCCTCACAGAGGGCCCTGGCGGCTCGCCACTGTCCCAAATACAGTGCACACACAAGACCAATTAGCACTAAGAATTGAGAAGGGATATCAAAAAGAAGATAAAAGAGATGGACCTGCCTTTCTGAGCTTCACTAATTCCTCTTTCAGATGCTCAATGACTCTTTACAGGTCAAATGCAAGTCAATGCTTAGTTTGTGTGTACATGAGACAATATCTTACATGACTTAACAATCAAATGAATATATATATGTATGTTAGAAGTGTCTAGAGAGGCTATATATATGTTGATGTCTTTTTTAGCCAACTAAGTACATATTCGGTAATTAATGAAAATAAAAAAATAAAATTAATATTCATTTTGAGCAATGATAACTAAAAGTGAATTACCAAATGTATAACAAGTACATCATATGTCACTTCTCATGCACACAGGTAATAAATTGTTTCCTCAAACCATGATGGTATTCTGTCTGACCAGGTTTTATTGTAACTGTAATTAATAAAAACATAGAAGAGCATTTTTGTCAATTAGAGCTGGTTAACAACCATTCCGTTACTACCAACGTATTAAAGCAGGGTCCAGAGGGTTCATGAACTGTACGGTTAACAACAGTGACATGACTGCCTGGAGAAGGAAGGTCTGAGTAATGGAGGGAGGGGGAAACAAAAGGTGAAATAGTAATGCAGAGAAAAGTTCCCTGACAAACAGATGGGATTATATCAATGCAGACGTACTATTTATATTGAATTTATACTGTAGTTTTACTTAAGTGACAAATATGTCTGAAACCGCGTGTCACCTGCTAGCTAATATGAGCTAATCCCTGTAGCAAAATAACGCGTTTTGTGTGCTGAATATGTTAGGGTTAGTGGGTTTATTTGCGACAGGCTTTTCTGTTGCAGTGATGTACAAGGAATTTATTTCAAACATATGCACGCCGGAAGTCAATGTTGTGTCTGACTGCGCAACCAAAATCATTGTTAGCCTTTTACCACTGGCCTTTTGTTCTTTTGTCTCTTTTAATATTCGCCCAGTCTCTTCTCCTCGTATCCTCTTCCCTTCCTTCCCTTCCTCCTTCATCAGCCTCTCGTCTTTCCCTTTGCCTCATTTCGCCTCATCTCGCTGGCCTCTCATATTCCTCCCCTTGAAGGTTTCAAGATGACATTGGTGCTGCACGCTTATTCACTGGTGCCATCCTTCACTGAACTGCATATATGACCTGACAGCCACTCGAACACTCGTACACACACACCAAAGAACACATGCACACATGATTCAGATGCACTTTACCATACAAGGGCAGACAGGCTCAGAAATAGACACACACACACACACACACACACACACACTGGGCTAGAAGAAACAACGAAGATGAATGACAAGTGACATAAGTGGCTAGAAGAAGGTTTCTCTTGAATATCAAAAGACCTTGAGGAGAGGACAGAGTGACCCTTCCCTGTACGTCCTTTAGGTTATCAATCCTCATCCTACCATTGATATGCTGCCACCCAACCTGACTCATGATTAAAACTAAGTGTGCTTGTGTGTGTGTTTTTGTTTCTGTATGGGTGTCCTTACCTTCCTACGTTATTAAAGGACCTATAATTGTGTTTATGTTCATAAACTGCACATGCATCATGCTGTGATGAAAACCAGTCCTGCAAACTAATATACATTAAACGTAGACTGAGATATTTTAGAGCAAGGTGGAAAGCATTTATCATAGGAGCAAACACACTGATTTCACGGTTAATAAGTCATCCATCATGGGATGTTGTTGTGTATTTGCGTGTGTACTTCAGTGCTAAATATCAAACGCCAAACCCAGTGAGTTACTCTATGCTCTCTTCAATCAACAGATTTGTTAACATAGATGGACTTATTGTTAGGAAACAGTGTCAAATGGTATACATCAGGATGCAGTCAATATATATCATTAAAATAAAAGTGTCAAATATGTGGCACATGAGGCAATCAGACCTCAACTCCATTAACCCTTGTGTTGTGTTCGAAAGCTGTTACCGTTCATGGTGTTCGCGGGTACATTTTGACCAATGATTTATCTCAGTCCAAAACACAAAATAAAAATGACTCTCATCCAATATTGTTTTAACTACATCATGACTAACTTATTATGCATTGATGACCCTACAATTCTGTTGTAATTTAACGTTATGGCCCGAAACACATCACACCACATATTGCACACGTGCATGTGTGAGTTCAGGTTCAAGTGTTAATGTACATATTCTTTGAGAAAGGTCGAGTTCCCGTGGGGGGAGGGGGGCAGAGGGATGGGAGACCAGGTGCATGTTGCAAAAAAATTATTGTTACATTGGATGAAGGGGGTGGGGCTGGGGTGTCTAAAGGCAAAGACGAATCTTGATTGGGCCAAATTTGACCTTGAGTCACCCAAAACAATTCTGCTGGGCCTCCCCCATATTTTTTTTAGAGACCTTCAGACTTCGCAAAAATTGTCAAAATCAGTTTTGTAGAGTTTATAGAGCTGTTGTGGAGGATTAAGCCTTGTTCAGATAAAAAAAACTGGAGCATAGTTATTATATCATTTTAACTTGAACATAAGGGTTAAAGTGAAACCTGCTAATTTAAAGTTAAAACTCAAATCAAACACAGCTTCAGATTTAATTTTGTGTAAACATATATTTATCATTTGTGGGATATTGTGGCAACACGTTCAGTAAAGTGAATTTCAACTGGCTGAAGGTGTCATGATCCCATTTTCTCTCTGTTTCCTGTTCTATTTTGAAATGTTTGCATTCTGTTTAATGTCTGTTCTAACTTCCTGTCTTTGTGTGTTTTCCCATTTGTTTCTATTTTGATTGCCTCTCCTGTAGTGATGGGCATTTCGATTCCCTTCTGGGACACAAATCTTTTGATTAATTTCAGTTTAAAGATTCGTTCACTGATTCGTTCACCGGTTCGCTAACGACTTAGTGAGTCTTCACTACTGCCGAAGTCCGTACAAGAAGTTTGCTGGTGTAAAATGTATGATATTAAAACACATTTTACACCTCACCTTGTTGCCCCATGAATTATGCTCTGGGAATAGGCTACATATTATTTAAGAAATATAATTGGCCATTGTTAAATCTCATAAATGTGTGCCTGACTATCCGATGTATTACAGCAGGCTAGCACGTTATACTTGCACGTACTATGTGGACTAACTTAAATCCAAAAGCATTAAACTCCATTTAGCCGAGTTCAAAGTGAATACAAAAATATATCCTCTACATCGGTGACGATTTATTCATATGTTTACCTTTAGCTAGCGGCTAAGCTAGTGGGACGCTACAGAGCCCAGCTATCCGCCCTCTGAAGCTTTTAGGGCCGACAGGGGGAGGAGAATGTCCCGCTAACGCTGTGTGTGTGTGTGTGTGTGTGTTTCACATTAGCGGGACGCTATGGAGCTCAGGTATCCGCTCTCTGAAGCTTTTAGGGCCGACAGGGGGAGGAGAATACAACGCTGTGTGTATTTATCGCTAAGCTAGCGGCTAAGCTAGCTGGACGCTACGGTTCAGGTATCCGTCCTCTGANCACAATGCCTTGCAGCCGCAGCATTTGCGTCACACATAGTGATGGGCATTTCGAATCCCTTCAGGGACACAAATCTTTTGATTCAGTTCACTTTAAAGATTCGTTCACTGATTCATTCACCGGTTCGCGACTCACCGGTTCGCGAACGACTTCTGGTGATTTGCACGTTCGCTAAACGATTCGTCTTTGTACTTAATTCGTTCAGTGAGACTTCACTACTGCCGAAGTCGGTACAAGAAGTTTGCTGGCGTAAAATGTATGATATTAAAAAACATTTTACACCTCACCTTGTTGTCCCATGAATTATGCTCTGGGAATAGGCTACATATTATTTAAGAAATATAATTGGCCATTGTTAAATCTCATAAATGTGTGCTTGACTATACGATGTATTACAGCAGGCTAGCACGTTATACTTTCAAACCCATGCACCGTGCACGTACTATGTGGCCTAACTTAAATCCCAAAGCATTAAACTCCATTTGGCCGAGTTCAAAGTGAATAAAAAAATATATCCTCTACATCGGTGACGATTTATTCATATGCTATGTACCCATCTATGTTTACCTTTAGCTAGCGGCTAAGCTAGTGGGACGCTACGGAGCCCAGCTATCCGCCCTCTGAAGCTTTTAGGGCCGACAGGGGGAGGAGAATGTCCCGCTAACGCTGTGTGTGTGTGTGTTTCACATTAGCGGGACGCTATGGAGCTCAGGTATCCGCCCTCTGAAGCTTTTAGGGCCGACAGGGGGAGGAGAATACAACGCTGTGTGTATTTACCTTTAGCTAGCAGCTAAGCTAGCGTGTGTGTGTGTGTGTGTGTGTGTGTGTGTGTGTGTGTGTGTGTGTGTGTGTGTGTGTGTGTGTAACGGAGCTCAGATGAGAGGGCTCTGATTACAGTTTTAATCTTCTGTCAAACTGCAGTATCATCACTGAGCGATCAGAACTCGCGACAGGGGAAGCAAATACAGACATCACACGACGTAGCTTTAGGTTACGTCGTAAACACGGAGATATGCTCACCTTTTGCTGTTATTCTGATCAAAAACGAGAAACGCGGCTGAAGGTTAATCCATAGGTTAATCCAATGTGTCTGTCACTTTGAAAANACGATCTTCAGTCATAATTCAATGGGGTATGTAATTTATTTCAGAAAACACTTTTTGTTATATTCCATGGAATGCTCTTAACGTCCCGATAGCAATGAATATATTAAATGCTTTGACAATAAATACATACAAAAATTCATCTCTGGAAGCCGTAGCGCTGTAAAAAGCACGACCAATCATTTTAGCCGACCCGGCTAAAATAACTGGATGGCCTACCTGCCTGTCAGCCTTCCATCTCTGTTCCATCTGTGCACAAACTTATCTCGTGGCCTCATTGATGATGCGCATTCACCTTCCTCACCTGACCTAAACCTTCCTCACCTGACCTAAACCCTTCCTTACCTGCCCTTAACCCTTCCTCATCTGACCTAAACCCTATAGAGAATGTGTGGGCCCTTCTTAAAGGGAGATTTACAGTGAAGGAAACTGCTCTCTGAACAGAGTCTGGGAGGCTGTGGTTGATCGTCAACATAGATCCATAAACTGACAGACTCCATCAATGGAGGTATTGTGACTGTCATTGAAGAGAAGAGTGGCTATATGGGTTAATGTTTTATCTCAGAAAAATGTATTTGTACAGTATATGTTGGGTTGTTTGTTTATTATTCTCACTTTAACAGTTCAATACAAACAAGTGAGATGGGAACATTTTTGTTTTTCCTTTAGTTGCATAATAGTTCTGCACAAAAATAGCTGCCCAATAATTGTGCACACAGTGTATATATACTCTACAGATATATATCCTTCATTATTGAAATGTATATATTCACTATTTTGCATACTTTGTTTATCTTCTACTGCTGATATGTATATCTTAATAGTTTTTTTTAAAGGTATTTATTTATTTACTATTTATTTTATTTATTTTAATTCATGTGCAATGTCTTATCTATGCTGCTGTCACGGAACCAAAAAAAATTGGCATAAATAAAGTATATCTTATCTTATATTATCTTATTAGATATCAAATTGACATAGTCTTTGGACTATAATACCACATCTGGATCTTAGGGGGAAGTGTAGGTAGAACAGGAGTCGCATCATTTGTGGCAAAATCTAGTTCACTGAAGAGTGGACGTTTAGAATCAGCTGATAAGAGGCAGCTGGAGGAAAGAGAGAGAGAGAATGTAGAATGATAAAACAAAAAGGTAGTTTTCCTGATCAAAGTTATGCTCAGCTTTAATTTTGCTCTTTTGCTCATTGATTCCCGACTTCCATTCTTCTACAGACGACCCCATGTTACTGAGCTTCAAGAAAGGAGAGCTCATTATCATAATCAAAGACGACGAGTTTGCCCAGGAGCGTGGCTGGATAAAGGGCCAGAATGAGAGCACAAAACATACCGGCGCCGTCCCCACCGAGGCCATCATAATCCTGCCAACGCTCAGCAAACCCACCAATCAGGTCATGGTATGGAGATGTCAACCTCACTTCCCTGTCAGATGAGTTATTGTGCTCAGATTCTGTGGAGTGTTAAAGTTCTCCTTTGTTTCAGAGCCTCATCAACCTGTCTCCAAACCAAAGGAAAAACATAATACAGGCAAACCAGAAGGAAACAGGAACCATGGAGAGATTAGCTCCCGCCACGCTGAAAGAGTTCTCCCTGGAGTACTTCAGGTATCTGGAGAGGCCCTCTTTGTTTTGTACACTGGAACAGGAGTGTTTACCCATACTGTACCTTGATCCCACAGGCAGCCCACTAAGGATGTGAACCGTCAGGTGATGTCCAGGAACGCTGCTCCTGAGAGGCTGTGGGCCAACTCGAGGGAGCCAATCAGACAGCCCCTCCTCCAGAAGCTGGTGGGCAACCCGGAGCTCAGCCACAAAGCCTGCCTGGCCTTCACTGATATCCTCCACACATATATGAAAAGTAGCATTTCTTACTACTTGTTTTTTTTACCAGTGCACCTTTTGGCATGCAAGTTAAATTGATGAATGTACTATAAGACTATTTCAGGGCATGGTTCAATTTGTCTACTCCCTGACACACGTGTACCTGAATCCTGCCCACACAGGGAGCAGATCCTCACGGTTTAATCAGGCCTTACAAAGTATCTTCTTTGTATCTGCTTAACCCTAACCACACTCTCTTTCACTCAGTTTTCCAGCCTTTAACAAAATAAAGATTTTTTTTAATTGATTGGGATACGATTTAACATCTCATACATATCATCCAACTGCTATGTTGCACAAAGAGTTTCTAGCTATTGCTAATTTCAACTTTCTTAGTTGGGATTTAGCATGTACTGTGTAGTTACAATATCTTTCAGTATTATATAACCAATGAAGTGCAAACACAATAATAAACACATAATGCAATAAACCCTAACCCTAACCCTAACCTTGAAATTATACACTAGCCTACATAATATGTATAGCTCTGGTTTGCTTTGGAGCCAACCCTTATCTTCTTGTGTATGATTTTATATCTAAAGATAATTGAATTCATAATTAATGTGGTCCCCCCTGATGGAAAGGCTGTCCAAATGTAGATGTATGATGTGTTATCTTACAGTTTCCATTTGCAATGATTACATTACATTACATTACATTGCATTTAGCTGACGCTTTTATCCAAAGCGACTTACAATAAGTACATTCGACCGGGAAGATACAACCTTGAAGAAAACAGAATCATATAGGTACATCAGGTTTCATAGAGCCAAACATTTCAAGTGCTACTCAACTGGCTTTAAATAAGCCAGTCCTTTATAAGTGCTTTGTTAGTAATTCTATCGCTCGAAGTGGAGTCGAAAGAGATGAGTTTTCAGTCTGCGCCGGAAGATGTGTAAGCTTTCTGCTTACCTGATTTCAATGGGGAGCTCATTCCACCATTTTGGAGCCAGGGTAGCAAACCCACGTGTTTTTGCTGATGGGAACTTGGGTCCCCCTCGCAGTGCGGGTGCAGCGAGCTGTTTGGCCGATGCAGAGCGGAGTGCACGTGCTGGGGTGTACGGTTTAACCATGTCCTGGATGTAGGAAGGGCCAGATCTATTCGCAGCATGGTACGCAAGTACCAGTGTCTTGAAGTGGATTCTAGCAGTTACTGGAAGCAAGTGAAGGGAGCGGAGGAGCGGCGTGGTGTGGGAGAATTTTGGAAGGTTGAAGACCAGACGAGCCGCTGCATTCTGGGTGAGCTGCAGAGGTCGGATGGCACATGCAGGTAGACCAGCCAGGAGGGAGTTGCAGTAGTCTAGGCGTGAGATGACGAGAGCCTGGACCAGAACCTGCGTTGCTTTCTGGGACAGCTGGGGACGTATCCTCCTCATGTTGTAAAGCGTGTATCTGCAGCAGCGGGTTGTAGCAGCAATGTTTGCAGTGAAGGACAGTTTGTTATCTAGGATCACACCCAGATTCCTTGCAGTCTGAGTTGGGGAAACAACAGAGGTGCTGATGACTCCTTCTGGATCCAAAGCCTTG